CTCTTTATTGTATTCCAATGCTCTTTGTTTGGATTCGACATGTACCGACTAACCACTCCCACTGCTTGTGCAATGTCGGGTCTTATGCATATCATAGCGAACATTAAACTTCCCACTACTGATGCATACGAAACTCGAGACATCTCCATCCTCTCTTCTTCACTGCTATGACTCATACTGGAGGATAATTTGAAGTTAATAAGAAGAGGAGTAGAAATTGGCTTACAATCTTGCAAGTTGAATAGTGACAAGATCTTCTTCAAGTAATTCTTTTGTGAAAGCCAAATCTTCCTATTACTTCTGTCTCGGTGAATTTGCATCCCTAGAATCTTGTTTGTTGATCCTAAGTCCTTTATTTCAAATTCCATAGCCAGTTGTGCATTCAATTCTTCAATATGATCTTTGTTGAGTCTTGCAACCAACATGTCATCCACATACAACAACAATATAACAAAATCGTTATCACCAGACCTCTTGAAATAAGCACAATGGTCTGCATTAAGTTTGTTGTATCCAAGGCACATAATGAATGAATCAAATCTCTTATACCAATACCTCGGCGCCTGCTTTAGACCTTACAGAGATTTGTTCAACCTGAAAACCAAGTTCTTCTTTTCTTTTTCTTCAAAACCTTCAGTCTGGAGCATGTAAATCTCTTCTTCAAGATTTCCATGAAGAAAAGTTGTTTTAACATCTAGTTACTCTAGATGTAAGTTCAATGTCGCACACATTGTCAAAACTACTCGAACTGTTGTTAGTCGAACCACAAGAGAAAATATTTCATTGAAATCAATGTCTTCTTTTTTAGAATATCCTTTGACCACCAGTCTTGCACGATACATCTCCACTTGATCATCACCATTTCGCTTGATTTTGAAGATCCATTTGTTACCAATTGGCTTCCTTCCTTGTGGTAGTGGCACAAGGTCACATGTATTATTTTTATTAAGGGCTTTGATTTCTTCTTGCATCGCCATCATCCACAGTGAAGCATCTGAGCTATAATTTATTGCCTTCTGGTATGTTGATGGCTCACTGTCCTCTGTTAAAAGGCAGTATGCAATATTACCTTATATAACATAATTTGAGTGTCAATTGGGACGTATTTTCACACGATATGATTGACGAGTTGTTGGATCTTCATAACTCTCTGGTTCTGCTTCAGAAGAATCTCCCTGTTCAAACTCCTTTTCCACATGTATATGTGTAGTATCTGACTTTTCAGCGCTACCATCTTTTTCTTTTCTTTGTAGCTTAACTTCTTCAAAGATAACATCCCTGCTAATGATCACTTTACAGGCAGTGAGATCCCACAAGCGATACCCCTTTACACCATCAGCATACCCCAAGAATTTGTATTTCCTGGATTTTGGATCCAGTTTTGAAATTTCTTGGGAGTTGTACATCACGTGCACAATACTTCCAAATACATGGAGGTTTGAATAATCAGCTAGTTTACCAGTCCACATCTTCATTGGTGTCTTTAGTTCTATTGCAATTGATGGGGCTCGATTCACCAAATAACAGGTTGTATTGACTGTTTCTGCCCAAAATAATTTTTCTAGGCCTGCATCCCTCAACATTGCTCTTGTTCTTTCTAACAAGGTTATGTTCATCCGCTCTGCCACTCCATTTTGTGGAGGAGTTTTCGCCACTGTGAACTGTCTTTTGATGCCTTCTTTCCTGCAAAAGTCATCAAATTCTTCACTTGTGTATTCTCCTCCATTATTTGTTCTGAAACACTTGATCTTATTTCCAGAATCAAGTTTCACCAACACTTTGAAGTTTTTGAAAGTTGAAAACACATCTGACTTCTTCTTAATAGGATACACCCAACATCTCCTGGAGTAGCCATCCATAAATGAGACAAAATATTTTGTTTCGCCTAGGGATGTAACTGGTTCTTGTCATATGTCATAATGAACCAATTCTAGAACACTTTTGCCTCTAGAATTTGACGTGTTGAATTTTAACCGGTGATGCTTACTTGTTATGCAATGCTCACACAAAGTAAGTGATATATTTGTTAAGCTTGGAAGTAACTTTTGCTCCACAAGGACTTTCATTCCTTGTTCTGACACGTGTCCAAGTTTCTGATGCCATAGCATTGCAGAATCTGAACTACATGAGGCAATAGAGGCTTCTGCTTCTAGCAAAGTCTCTCCCTTCAGCGTGTACAAGTTTGCAGCTATCTTTTCACCTTTCAACACCACAAGTGCTCCACGGAACACCTTCATGATTCCTTTCTGTGTTTCAATCTTGCTTGCATTATTATCCAACAATCTGTAGGATAATAAATTTTTCTTCAGGCCTTTCACGTGTCGTACATCTCGAACAACTTTGATTGTTCCATCATACATCTTCAATTTGATGGTTCTCACGCCAATGATCTCTAAGGCATGATCATTGCAACTATACACAGATCCTCCTGAGACATGTTCATGATGATGGAACCATTCTCTTCTTGAGGTAATGTGATATGTTGCTCCCGAATCAATGAGACATATATTTGCATATCTCTTTCTTCCTTCCACGGTGGTTGGTGCTTTACAACATAGATCATCTCCATCAGCTGAAGTGTTTGCGATATTGCCTTGTGGATTGGAGTTTTTATTTAGACTCCAATAATCCTTATTTAAGTGACCCTTCTTTCCACAGTTGTAGCACTTTAAATTCTTCTTGCTTCTTGACTTCGATCTACCATGTTTATGACTGCTACTTTGGTCACGTTCTGTTGATCTACCTCTCATCGTTTTCAACGTTTCTACTTGTTACAGATTTACTTGTTTGTCTTCCTTGTTCTTGCGTCGATTTTCTTCTTATAGAACAGTAGTTGCAACGTCATCGAAGACTAGACTGGTGACATTACTGTTTGTCAAGTTGATGATGAGTTGATTATACGAATCAGGTAGACTTTGAAGTAGAAGTTCAACACGTTCTTGTTCTCTTATTGTACATCTTAAGGATGTAAGTTGAGAAAATAAAGTGTTCAGTGTGTTTAAGTGCTCCGTCACTGAAGTAGATTATGGCATACGGAGAGTGTACAATTTCCTCTTAAGGAAAATTTTATTGTGCAACGATGTGGCCTCGTACAATTTGGTGAGATGATCCCATATCTCCTTAGTTATCTTCTTCTCCTCGATGCTTGACAATACTTCATCTGCTAATGCTAGATGAAAGTTTGTCATAGCATTTTCGTCCATTTCGATCCATTTGTTGTCATCTGTTAAATCTACCAGTTTTTCACTGATAGCGGCTAGACATCCGTCTTTCCTCAGGATGACCTTCATCTTCAATTTCCACAATGAGAAATTTCTCCCATTGAATTTTTCAATATCAAATTTCGTTGTCATATCTTCTATTACGGATAGCTCCCACTATTACACTATCGTGAATAGTTTTCTAGAACCTTCAAGGAAAGGGTAATACATTCTTACTTTCTTATGTTGGATGATCCACCTTTTAGTGGAAACTATAAAAACAATAAGCAGATATTACACACTCTAATCTGGCTCGGATACTAATTGTTGCGAAAGACAGCTATCGGATAGAGAAAAAAAAATTCTGCATGAACAATCCCACTATAAGATGTCACTCTCCTTCCCCCCAACCCCAACAAGATTCACCATTTCCAAGTTTCTTTCTTCCTCCTTGCTCTCTGAAATCAAGGCAATGGCTACCAAGTTATTCTTGTTGCTTGCTATCTGTGTTCTCCCGGTTCTCGTTAACGCAAACTGCCAACCTTTCCAAATCTTCGGCAAAGTTTACTGTGACACCTGCCGTGCTGGTTTTGAGACCATTAAATGCTCTTACATACCAGGTATGGTTAAACCAAACTCTCACCATTATGTCTTTTTTTTTTTCTTGAATCTTTGTCTCTAATCAAAGATTTTTTGTTTTTAGGTGCGAGGGTGGAAATCAAGTGCTACGATAGGACCACTTTGAGGCTGAAATTCAGCGTTGGAGCGTAGACGGACGCCACCGAAACATATAGCATTTTAGTTGAAGATGACCACCAAGACCAAATATGCTACGCCACACTTGTTACTAGCCCCATTAAAAGCTGTGCAGTTCCCGATACCAGGCGTAACAAGGCCACTGTTATCTTGACCCGCAGCAACGGTGCCCTTTCCAACATTCATTTTGCAAATGCAATGGGATTCCTCCGGGATACGGCGGCCGCCGGTTGCGCAGAACTGCTCCGCAGTTTACTGCAGGATGATGAATGAAATATCATTTCATACTTGATGTTCGTGCTTTAGCTTTTCCCTTTTTCTTGATTTTAGGATGTCATAATGAAGATGGTGGTGTTGTAGACCGATCCCTAATTCACCCGTCATTTTCTTGATGATTGGTGCATGCAATCTCTTGTGCTCGTTAAAGAAGATGAAACTGTTTTACATTATGTCATTTTCACTTATTGGAATATTTTGAGCTTTAATCATTTAATTGTGGCTTTCTAATTTGCAATTCCTTGTTCGATAAACTACTACTTAATTAATCTCCCAAGTTTATAATAATATTAAATAAACATTTAAAGAACAACCAAATTAACATATAAAAGGATGACGTGTCGTAAAGTTCTTAAACAGACAGAAAAGGCAATGTTAAAATTTGCTGTTATTTATTTGTGAACTTCTTTCCCTCGCTTCCTTATACTCTCCGAAAGAACTGGCGCCAATATCTCATCCTAATCAAACAGATCAAATAAAATATTAATTTTCAATTATTTTTACTCTAAAAATTTATAAAGTGATTAAAAGAAAATTAGTAGAAAAAAACATCATTAATCATGACACAAAGACCCAGAATTTGTTCTTCCTACCCAGATTATTTTGTTATGAATTTTTCGCTAATTGATACCCAAGACTAGTGGAAAATTGGACAGTTAATTTTCCTGTAATAAATTTATTAAGTAACCTAATGAACGGAAGCCAATTCGGGGACGATCAAGGCCAATGCATCGACCGCCCTACCACCCCAACCGCCACTTCTACCTCTCTTGATAACTCCGTCAAGAATGACAAGAAAAAGATGGTACAGTACCAATATATTTCTTGGTTTACTTTAAAACAATTGATCCTAGTTTATTGATTTTTCGTTTAATATTTTTTATTATCGTTGCGGGGTAAAGTCCTTTATCCCAAAGATATTTTCTTACAAGAGACGAACTAGAGGTGGCTCATCAGATGAGGAATTTGTATTACCAGATTGTGGAGTTTCTCCTACAGGTACCACCTTCATACTATCTCAAACACATCTTAATGTTCTTTATAGTTCAACCTTTGACGTGACACATCTCAAAGGAGTATCAGAATTTAATCATCTGATGCGATTGTAACCTTTAATCTGTTGAGTTTGATGAATTGGTTGTAATAGGTGTTATTTTCGACTGTATGTACTTTTTTTAATCTACTTAGATCTAGGTTTCTAACGAGACATATAATTCGGGTTTCGATTTTTATAAATAAATAAATTATTGACAAGCGAGAAAAAAAGAATAGATCCATATATAAATGAAGAATGTATTAGGTTCAATGAGGCGTAAATTTATAAAACATTGGTAGCTAACCTAACAAGAGAATGTTTGAAGGTGAAGAAAATATAAATGGGAAAGTGGAAGAGTTTCATTTCTGACGTTGACCCTTTGGCTTTGCGAAGGACAAAATTATTGGTGTTGGAGTCTAGAACTGGTAGAAAAAAGAAAACAATAATGAGACTAATTTTCTTATCTGCTCCTAGGAAGAGAGGAAGTTACTGGAGGTTTAATCGAAGGGCTGAATCTCTCAGATTTCGGCTGTTCCATGGCTTCGCCAAAGACTGAACCTCGTGATTTCCGGTACCGATATATAATTTGGACGTCTATGTTTATATCTTGCAGCAGTAAAATATATGTAAATTTCACCATTTTCAGGGTGTTCGTTGCAACTTGGAATGTGGGAGGGAAGGCACCAAATCTTGACATGAACCTTGAAGATTTCTTTCTAACGGAGGATTCTGCAGATATTTATGTCTGTGGGTATGATTGTCTCAGGCTTCATTTGATTTCTGTAAAATGACAGGATTATGGAGCTTGTTTTTACGTTCAACATCGATTTCCCAGGTTTCAGGAAATTGTTCCACTCAATGCCGGAAATGTTCTAGTGATTGAAGACAATGAACCTGCCGCAAAATGGTTGGTCCTTACAAACCAAGTACTTAACAAGCCCGAATTCGGTTTCACGCAGCCATCTTCAGACTGTGGCCGAAGTTTCAAATGCTCCCATTCCTTATCGAAAGAGTCAAAATCTCCCAACAGTCACTTCTTCTACAAGCCCTCACTCAAAATCCTTAGTAAGAATTTCAGGGCGGAAAGTAGCCTTCTCAAGACCTGTAACTGTCCGATCCAATCCACACATGGGACCAAGAGAGGCCAAAAAAAGCTTAGGGATTTAGCCTGCAAACTAGACCTCCGTCCCCTACCTGCACGTCGCTATGGTGCTGCCGATGATGACTTGGTTGATCTTTCTAACATGCCCCAAAATTTTTCAACCGGACGAATGGGTTACCGGCTCGTAGCCAGTAAGCAAATGGTTGGGATTTTCCTCTCCATATGGACTCGAACTGAGTTAGTGCCATACATTGGTCATCTACGAATTTCCTGTATAGGAACAGGAATATTGGGACGACTGGGCAACAAGGTTAGAATATAAATCTTCCTTGAACTTTATCTTCTCCCTCGCCTTATATGGTCACTTTGTTTCATAAACAATGTGGGCATTGCAGGGATGTATAGCAGTAAGCATGACATTGCACCAGACCAGCTTTTGCTTCGTCTGCAGTCACTTAGCTTCGGGCGAGAAGGAAGGCGATGAGCTCAAGAGGAATGCCGATGTTAACGAGATACTCAGAAGCACACAGTTCCCCAAGATGTGCAAAGCTTCCAATCCTCGAGCACCGGAGAGAATTATTGAGCATGAGTACGTTTGATTTCATATAATATTATGATTATAACATTCTGATATGTGTTTTATTTGACAATTATTATCAATATTGCAGCCGAGTAATATGGCTTGGAGACTTGAATTATCGTGTAGCCTTGAGCTATGAGAAAACCAGGACTCTGTTGGAGGAGAACAATTGGGGCGTCCTTCTCGAGAAAGATCAGGTAAAATTCGCCATTGTTAGATGAATAATTCTCATCGGCGTAGCTATATATATATATATATATATATATGTATGTATGTATGTGTGTGTTGTTTTTGTGTAGTTAAACATAGAGAGAGATGCCGGAAGAGTCTTCAATGGATTCCACGAGGGACGAATAACCTTCGCTCCTACGTACAAGTATTCTCAGAATTCAGATTTATACGCCGGCGAAACTGTTAAATCAAAGAAAAAACGACGAACCCCTGCATGGTACTCATTCACTCTAAACAAATCAGCTGTGATAAATATGAAATCACATAATTAATCGATTTTTGTACCGGCAACATTTCAGGTGCGATAGGATATTATGGCACGGTTACGGCATTGAGCAATTATCGTACGTTCGCGGCGAGACGAGATTCTCCGATCACCGGCCTGTTTCCTCATTGTTTGCAGTGAAGGTCGAAGTAATGAGGAAATCCGATAACAGATTCAGAAAAGGTTATTCATGTGCGGTAAATAGATCGGCATACGAAGATTCTATACCTAAACGACATAGTTTCTATGAGTTGTAACTCCAAGTTTCGTTTGTTTATTCGTTTAGATTATTATAAAGAAATTCCACCGCATCTAAAATCTCAATTTATTTATTTATTTTTTCCTCTCTTCACAGCCACAATGACTAGAAATCTAGAACAGGATATCTTTATATAAAAATCTGTAAATTTCAAAATATTAATACTTAACCTTGTAAATACAATTATATATATAAATAAATTTATTCTTCATTTGAGTTTCTTTATCCGTATTTAAATTTTTATATACAAAGGTTAGTGGATTTTCAGTTTAAATTTTATTTCATTTTAATTTAAGTTATCGTGTATATATATACTATGTTTTGAATATAATCTAATTATTAATTTAACAACTATATCACCATAAGTAATATCGTGTACAATATGATATCTCGATCATCAATGATAATTCAATCTTTTTTGTTATTAATTCATGTGATGAAATTAGACTATATTATTCTTTTCAAATCGGTTATGCGCATGAAATTGAATTTTTATATTTTTTAGAGTCGTCGTACTCATGGCTTTCTTATTTAATATGAAATCTTCCTCTACTTGATTCAGTCAAGACAATTCTACCAGTAATTTCATCATCTAGCACAGAGGAGGAAATGACAAATGTATCGCCTAAAACTATTGATCCATTCAGAACGAAAAACTTGGTAATATTCTTCTTTTCTTTTATCACAACAAGAGGGTTTTTATAAATTTTCATAGCTCAACCTTCGTTGGGGTATATGTACCCTTTTTGAATCCAAATTACCTAACGAAATTATATTTTTCTCAAATTTGTCCCAACTTGAATCGAGTGTTGTGATCCAACAATGAAATTTCATACTTCAGAGACACTATTATCGTGAATTCGCGATTAAATCAAACATGAATATGTTCTAATATCAATTTGTTAGAAGCTAACGACATGTATAATGACCACACAATCAAATAGATACCAAGATTCTAAGTGGAAGTCCTTTAAGAAAAAAATATAGGCAAAAGAAAATAATTTTCACTAAAGTCGAAAAAGAATAATACAATAGAATTTTCAAAAACACTTTTTCTTTTAAATTAATAGAGATAGTTATTTGATTACAATAGAAACATATTTAGTAGAAATCTATTTAAATTACATTTTATATCTTTAATAAATATAAAATATAATAGACTTTCTACGTTCAATCAAACTAGATTCTATTTTTTCTCAGTTTTCTCTTATTTTTTGCAGCTTCATAGATTTGAATTAGATCAAATTCAGATCAAACTCTAATAATCTCTATTTTTACACTAATTATGAAAGATTTATTTAACGAAAAATATCATACTAGCATGGCAACTTAACTTTCATTAGTTATTTAATGGTCCAGTGATGCAAACCAAAAAAAATCTTAACATCAATGATTTTAATAATTTTTTTATTTTGATGACTAAAGTACAAATGTTTTAAACATTTAGTGACCATTAGTGCAATTTATCCTATTTTAATTATAAATTTATCATTAAACTCAGTGATAATAATTTTTAAACTATAGTAGAAAAATACTTGGTTTTATATGATTGTTGGGCTACATAAAACCTTGAAACACCATTTACTTTATTACTTAACGAGTAAAATCTTCGATAAAAAAAAAAGCACACTTCCAACAACATTAAAATTTGATAATGGCATTTCAAATGTATCATCAATTGAAAAAACATAACATTTGTCCTATTTTGATATTATGAGAATAGTTTGCTACATCTTTTCTATTTTAGTAGCTGAATTTGAAGTAAAATTTATTTTACCGTAATAATTCATTGTAAAAATTTAGGTTTCACCCTAATAAAATGGAGTGTTGTTTTCTTAAAAAAATTTAAATTCGAACATCTTTATTTGTATGTAGGGAGGGCAAACAGGTGAGATGGGTGCAAATTTCTCCTATCCTCATACCTATTATTATTTTTGTATCCAACACCTAACCATCACCCATGACGGGTAAAATATTTTTACCGAAACATGTCCACGTGGATACATTCTCAAATCCACCCCACACCCACTATCCAAACTGGATATCCACCACCTATCTCGTACACATTTGTATCCTCTAATACCTGCCTGGCAACAACCTCAATTCTAGAGATTGAGGATTTGATATAGGAAAAACGACGGTATTCAATTCTAAAAATATTTATATTCTAACATTTAGTTAAATTACAAGTCATATCCTATAAAATCTTAAAATTTACATAATAGTCTCTAAAATTATAACTAAATTCATAATTTTTCAAAATTTATATGATGGGTAGTTAGGGAGATCTTTAATGAGACTCTCAACTTAGGTCATTTTTATTTATAAATAAATTCTTGCTGAGAAAAATATTAAGATGCATTGGTCATATAAGGCATCGGAGGTTATATATATTCCTGGATAATGCATGAGATATTTATCAAATTTTACAGCAAAATTTCTGTAATGCAACATCAAATCAAGATGAGAGCAGGTTATTAGATGATGCTAAAAAGTCTGAATCAAAATTGGAAGTGAAAGCTGAAAATTGGTTGGGAGCTTGGGTAAATAAAGAATTTGATAACAAAGGTTATATGGGTAAGGCTGCTAGTTACTGCCGTGAAACCGAACTCTTAGGTTAGAATTTTTTATTTTTTTAACTTTAAACATGAAAATTTTCTTACCGATTACCAAATCATACATTACTATATCTTTTCATGCACATGTTAAGTTAGAGGTCGAACAAATATTTTTTTTAAAAAAAAGTTTGGATCGCATAATATAGTGTTCGTAACATTTCAAAATAGGTGGTACTGGTACACTAAAATGGAGAAGAAAGGGAAGAAACGACATCAACCGGAGGGTCAAAGGGTTCCGATCCATCCGAGACGGTACTCATCGGCAACTTTGGCGCAGCAGGTTGAACCGAAAAAGAGAAAATGCAAGTGAGAAACTGGGACTAGTGGCGCTGCTTCACGCCCTGCCTACATACCTCTGGCATTTAGAGAGACGAAGAGATATGCCTATGTTTAATATAAGTGAAATTTGCAACCCAGCTAGTAGGCTAGCTTGTGTTGATCATCCCATTTTGGATTTTTGGACTTTGAAGTTTCTCTTATGTTTTGACGTTAATTAAAAGCTATAAGTTGATCGTTTTTCTTGGTTTTTCAATATTTCAATACTTGTTATCAGGTATCCAATTTTTTCAATATTTGTTTTGAGGACAATGCTTTTAAAAATTTTAATTTTTTTTAATATTTACTTGTTATGAGTCCAATTTTTTCAAATACTTTTTATTAGAGGTCCAACTTTTTTAATATTTGTTATTATGAGCGTACTTTTAAAATTTATATTTTTCAATACTTGTAATTATATAAGGTGCTACTCTTAAAAGTTATTTTTTTCAACACTTGTTATTCTGAACACCTACTTGAATAATGATTTGTAACCGTAATAATGACTGTTATGCAGTAACGATATTAACGACATCATAAAAAACTGTGATATTCACAATCGTTATGTTCACAATTGTATATATTATTAAAAATCCACAACCACGATATTTGTAGTGATTGCAATATCATCCATTATGTCCGCAAAAGTGATAAACACAATACGTTTGCGAATGGAGTAAACTGGGTTGGGAGGATCACCCTCACTTCTACATTATCCGATCTAGATTAGTCGATTAATATATTGGATATCAATGATTAATTAAAAAAAGGTCTAATTTTTTATTTTATCCAAGACCATTAAAATACGGACTGAAGATAATATTAGTAATTTGTAGAATTTAAATTAAATGAAACTTTTTACAAACAATCAATTTTATCTTTAAAATATAATATATATTCTCATAATAAAAAGAATTAAACTCTAAACTCTATAAATAATAAAAAAAATTCTACAAAATGGGAAATTTAAGAATATTTAACTTTGGGTGGAAGCGGAGAAAAGGTAAAGGCATTCACCAAAAAGCCGGATTTTAAGGAGCCGTTTGATGGTACATCGGCAAACATAAAAGGGTTAGACAGTCAATATCACAACTTCCGATGCCCAAAAACAGGAATTCCTCTCACCTGAGGCATCACGAAAAATAATTTTTCTTTTAACATTTTAAATTATTAGGTAAATTATACATTTAATATCAAAACTATCAATTTTAATCCGTTTTAACACTTAAATTTTTAATTTTTTCAAAATCATATATAACATTTAGTTTTTGTTTCACTTTAGTATCACACCATTAAATAATACGTTTAGTACCTAAACTATCGGTTTTAATCTATTTTAATACCTAAATTTTTATTTTTTTCAAAAATTAAAGTTAAATTTTGAACAATATTGCTACAATGAAATAAAAACTAAACGCTAGGTATAATTTGAAATAATTAAAAGTTTATACACTAAAACAGACCAAATTTGATAGTATATGAACTAAACACATAATTTACTCTAAATTATTTCATATTACATTTTAAATATTATTATTCAAATTTAAATTATAAAAAATCATTTTTAACTAAAAGGCTTAACATAAAAATAAATACCTAAACTATATTCAAAATTGACTTTTGGTGTTTAAAGAATTTTCGTTAAAAATATATGCTAATATTTTATCTGTTACAGTTTTAAGTGCATACCGTTAAGTGACACGTGCCCGTTTATATTTTAAAAATATTTTAAAAATATTTTAAATTAATATTTTATTTTTAAAAAAATTAAAAATATAAATATGACATGTGTCACTTAACGATTTTTTAACGGTATACACCTAAAATGTAACGAATAAAATATTAAACACACATTTTTAACAAAAAAGTCTTTATACACCAAAAATGAATTTTAACTTGTTTTTTGTATTAAGGCGGACTAAAATCACTTAATGAATTTAATCTTTTAATTATTTATAAAATACTAAATGTTATATATAATACAAATATAATATTTTTATTTTATTTAAAATTATTACTATTAAATATGAAAAGTAATTTTCTAAAATTATAAAGAGTTTCTTTTACCAAATAAACTTTTCATTTTAAAAATAAACTGAATAAATTTTT